TAAATAAGATAAAAGTTAACTAAGTAAAGGAAAGGAAATGAAAGGCATAAATAAGATATTAATGAAAGCAAAACTTAAACATTAGAAAAATACAAAGAGAGAAAGCAAGAGCATGATCTTGATCTGGAAACCAAGATGCCTAAATGCATGACAAATGCCTCCTTTTATAGGCCAAAATTAAGAATTATTGATTTGATGACTAATTAATGAGTGGGTGGCCACATCTTGACTTGGTGACAATCCTTATCTTCTTATTTGAATAAAATGTTATTCATAATGTTAAAATTTGAACCAGACCTCCATATGAAACTGCTAGAAAATTGTCTCATCTTTCTAGAAAAAAAAAAGTTGAGGTCATTTGGACTTCTAGAACTCAAGATATAGGTTGAACACTGAATAGTGTTTGGGATGTAGGATAAATTCGAACTTCTTCATTATTGCTACAATTTGGACTTGAAAACGGCCATTTTAAATCCTGAACTCCATGAAAGTTGTAGGCCTATGTCTTACCTTTCCATCCATATAAAATATACTTAAATCCAAGATCTATAGCTCCAAATATGACCTAATTACCGAACAGTGTTCCAGTTTAGACTACACCAGCATCTTTTTTCTAAGTTTGGTCATCTCTTTGTCCTTTTAATTTTAGTACTTAAACTCATCAATCAATCTTTTTATTTATGTGATAGGCCTGTATTTAAAATAAATATTTACCATAAATTAAAGGTATCTTATATTATTAAATATGTTATTATAAAACATGTTTTAGTTAAGGAGTTATTGATACTTCAAGTGCAAAATGATGATATAAAACCTTGATAAAAATATACTTTTAAGTATTAATCAAATGGATTGATAAACATCTGCAGAACAAATTCGATAATTAGCATATAAATTTAAAAAAATATATATGAATTAATAATACATAAAAAAATAAATGAAATAACATACTTTTATTTGTCACAATTTAAAATCACAATATATATTAAATATCTCACTTTTAAGTATCGTTGAAGTGTCTTTTGGTCCTTTGCTAGCTTGAAGAGGAATGTCCATTGGTAGGGACTTGAACTGCTACCAAAATTTTTAAAATATATATATTTGAAATTTTAATATATTACATAAAAAATTAAAAAATAATAAATTTAAATATAAACTATATATATTATAAATAATAAAATTTTAAAAACTATTTTAAAAGATTTTTTATCCTCCATTAAAAATATATTATATTATTGTTTTTAAGTTGAAGTATTTAAACAAAAAACAATTATCTCATATTGAAAAAACATATTTTTTTCCTATGAACATAGAGTATATATATTAATGGCTAGGGGTGTTTAAAAAAACCGACCAACCGATTAAACTGAAAAAACTAAGAAAAAATTAACCAAAAATACCAAACTGATAGAAAAAATTGAATAAACGGATTAAAAAATAAAAATAAAACACTTAGTCTGGTTCGGTTTTGGTTTCAAAAAGTTTAAGCTGATTGAACCGAACCGATTCAATTGAATATGAAAGACTTAAAAAACAAGGTATAAAA